GAAGCTTTCAAACTGATTCAGATGGAAAATATTCTGTCAGACAGGATACTATCAATGGGAAATGGTTTTAAACTAAAACAGGGGAGATTTAGACTGGACATAAGGAAAACATCTTGGTTTTTGTTATGTTTGTTTGTTTGTTTTTTTACAGGAAGAGGGTAGTGAAGCACTGGCACAGGGTATCTGGAGATGTGGTGGATGCACTGTCCCTGGAGACATTTGAGATCGGGCTGGACATGGCTCTGAGCAACCTGATCTAGCACTACGTCTCCCTCTTTGTTGCAGGAGAGCTGGACTGGATGACCTGCAAAGGTCCCTTCCAACACAAATGATTCTGTTCTAAGTATGTACTATGTACTATCGTTTCTGTAACTACTCCCTGGCCTCCTCCTGAGCCAGAAACAAAGGAGAGTAAATATAAAGACAGGAAGTGACACAAGCAGAACAGCTATTTCTTGAAGAACTTTTCTCAAAATAGTTGTTTCTTGTGCAATGCCACATCAAGCTTGCAAAAAACAAGCACTGCCTAGGAGGAATTGCTTTTTCAGAACCAAAATAGGGCACTGTGGCTCCAGAACTTCAGGATGATAATGTCCTGATATCAAGAACTGAAGAGAACAAGATCTGAGTGGTTTTCTCCTGCACCTGGGAAGTGCACAGCTGTGACCAGTCTATAACCACGTCATTTATTTGCTGGACATTGGAGGCTTCTGATAAGTTCACAGACCTTACATTAGCACTTGCCACCCTAAATGTTCCCAAGGTTGAAGAGCTGTTTTTTAGTGTTCATGTAAAAGATTTGAGGTACTACAGTAACGTCGTGATTTTCAGCATGTAATAGCTTACTAATGATGAAGAAAAAAGAGTAACAACAATTACAACAGCAAAAAAAATCACTCAGATGTCACTCCCAAAGTAGCCACTACGGTGTTTATATTCCTTAGGGCTTCTGTCACAAAATAGAATTCCCGGAACTTTCACAGGATGGGTGGATCACTAGTAACAATCCCTAGATGGCAACTGAGTGAGCTAAAAATGAGCTGTAAATAAGAGGCAGAAGAGAGTAAGCAAGACAGTCTGTGAGAGACAATGGTTTCCCAGTGCTTTCCTGATTGTGTTTCTTTTGCCTGATACAAACAGTGAGTAAATCACAGCCCTGATCGTCAGAACAGAAGATTGTTCATGCTTGCAAGGAATGGTGTGCTATTCTTCTTGCTGAACAGCTCATAGAGTCAGAAGAATACAGATTTCCAGGATGTGTAAGGCACAGAGGAGTGATATGTGAAGATATGAGTCTTTCAGAAATGGTTTTTGGAGTGGATTAACTGAGAGAAGCAGCTGAACTTAACTTTGTCTTACTTCTTCGAGAAGCTTAGTTCTGACCTGATGACAACAGGGTGAAAATGCTTGTAGAGCAAAAAGTTTGTCTGGATGTTATAGTGCACACTCTCCAATCATGAACTTTCCTACTGATCAATCTGTGTACCATTCTTTTGTTATGCTTAAGACAGGTTTTTACTGAACTGCCCCTATTCTGACCCTATACTACTGGATTTCCCCAGATATGAATATAAAAGAAGCCTACATTGCGCATGCATTACAATCCATGTAAATAAGGATATCCAATATGAGGCTATTTGTGCTGTTTCTGTAATCTCATATTTCTGCAATTTGAGTCTAATCTGTAGCATATAAATTTGTTTTCTTTCATCTTCTGTTCACTCCTGTCTGTACTGTTGGCAGATCTAGTTCTATTGAGTTCTTAAGTTTATATTTCAGATAGAATATTTAAAACTTCTGACAACAGTCTATCTCTATCCCAATAGTTTTTTTTTTGTGTGTGTGTGTTGTTTTTTTTTTTTTAAGAATAAATTAAATATTTACAGGGGAATAAAATGTAATACTGTTGGAAAGTGGGAGATGCTTTTGCTTTCCTTACATACGATGGAATTTTATCGCTTCTGTAATTTCTCCTTTCTTATTAGTATTACTGCTACACATCTTTTTCTTTTCCACACAAGATCTCTTATTTTGTTTCTTAATTTAAATTATGTCTGTATTAAAACATTGTACTAATCACTGTTTAAACCCGAGGACATTTATAGCAATGCTGTAGGATTCCCTGATCTTGCCCTCTAACAAAAAGAGAAGTGTCTATCTTTAGAGTGCCTCTGTGCACCAACCTTCCATGTCTCTCAGAAGTCTGATCATGAAATGGAGCAGAAAAATTATTCATATTTTGTCTCTTTTCCATTTCAGCATCACAACGTACTTGACTTCTGTTAATAGTCTTTTGAGATTATCTTTGGGAGCTGACGTGGTGAATTTGACAGCTCCTTGGAAAAAAAACTTTTTTTTGTCAAACACATTAAGATTTAACACACTCAGGATCATAAACATTAACAGTCCTTCAGAGGATTTCAGGAGGTCTCACTGTTTGTTATCACTGTATTTGTGTTCGCATATATTGTATCTGTATATATCTACTTGTACTGAGATTTTTTGTGGCAAAAATCACTACTTGTAAACCAAACAAAAACCACGTTTGTTAGATTGATGCAATCATTTAGATTAAATGAGTGAGATGCTTTCAAATAGGAATTATGAACATTCCACATTTGAAGAAGTTAACTTAGGAGATGGAGGGTCACGTAAAGTAGTTTCTCATACTCAGTTTTTGTAATTTCTTATGAATATTTTGACTGAAAAAACATTATATCATACAGATACAAAGAAACCTACTGCTGAAGAAAAGGAATTTTTAAATAAACTTAAGAAATTGATAGAAATGATGTATTTTTTTAGTATATGTAAAATATCTTTAATCCACTACATACAATGTTCAGCTTCTGGATAAAGCCTGCTTTCTTAAAATTGACACCAGCAGAGAGATCTCAAAGGGTTACTATGAGCAATTGCTACAAGAAAACACTCATCTTCCAAAACGCAAACATATCTTTATTTTGAAAGTTTTTCTTTGAAATAATTAAAGAGAACTCTATATCTTATGAAAGGCTTATGATTAACTGTTATGTTATTTGTAATTACTATCAGTACCTTCTAATGACTACATTTGGATCTTCAAGTTTTCCACTGTTTTTTTTCCCTGGAAAAAACCTTGGGTTAAAGATAAGCCATTTCAGAAAATATATTTCTAGCAGCTCATGTTGCCAGTCCACCAGTGTGGGATCGAGGCTGTGTCACAATCATGAAATACTTACTGTTTGTCACCTTTATTGGTGTGGCTGGTGAGTGTATTTTTACTTCTACTTGTGCAATTTAAAATGAAACTTATTTCTGAGGAAACTTGTAGCATAGTTTGTCATGAGAAAGCGAAGTCGAGTTTAGATTTGCAAAAGGCTTAAGGCAAAATGCTTTTTCTTCTTTTGACTATTAACTATCCATCCAGAATAACTTATTTCACAAGACATGAATGCCCTCATGGTTCTTGACCTGGGAACACTAAAGTGCTTACACAGCTTAAAAAAAAAAGACTGTATAAATTCATGACTCTTCCACTAAAAATGAATTACAAAGTACCTCTTACCAGGAAGTCCTGAAGCTACTGCAAATTCTTTGATTATGGGAGAGTGCTCTAAGGAAACATCACTGCAGTCTTGTGTTGTACTTTCATTGTCTGCTATTGACTACTACTACAGACAAGATCTTGGGACAGACAAACCTATTATCTTTTATCCAATAAGAATATTTCTGTATTATTAAGTTCACTCTGGAAATAGCATCCAGGGCTTTAGATACAAATAGATGGGCTGCCAATCTAAATTCAATCAGCTTATTTTAGGGAGAAGCAAACAAATGCGTGTTAGAATTGACCATAACTGCTATCGTGCATGTTTTTTTTTTTTAGAACCAGAGCCTATATGCAAGATGTTTCATTCAGTCATTTTCATTCAGTCACAGGCCACAGAATTCCTTATGCCAGATGTTAACATATGCTATCTCTTATTCTGCAGTTGCCTTCCCCATCAGCGATGGGGATGATGACAAGATTGTGGGAGGTTACAGCTGTGCAAGAAACTCTGTACCCTACCAAGTGTCTCTGAATTCTGGATATCACTTCTGTGGAGGTTCTCTCATCAGTAGCCAATGGGTGCTGTCAGCTGCTCACTGCTACAAGTCGTGAGTGGAAAAAATATATTCCATAATCTACTTCTTTTCTCCAGTTCACTTTTAACAGGAATGTAGAGCTATGAGATCCAAATATATAAATAACTCAATTCTCACAGAAGACAACCGAAGAGTGAGTGGGTCATTCAGAAAGGTGGGCTGATGCATCACAAGTGGTTTTCCTCTTCTGCAAATGTTTTTCTGACTGCAGATTACTTTCTGAAATTACAACATGATATTCTAGGAAGTTATGTGCGTGGTCTCTTAGAAGTTGCATTAATTTGTTAAACCTTAATTACAGTAGAATAGGAAGAGAAATGACCTCACGGTGATACCAAACTTCCAGAATGTTTCTACATGCCACTAAACAATCCTTCATAAATTCACCACCAGTGCCAAAAATAAGATCTCAGTGTAGATCCCTAGAATTTGTTGCAGGACAACAAAGGTACCCAGCACGAGAAGAGTTAATACATACAGTGATAGGCAACTTTCTCATAACCACAACGTCAGTGGCAATAAAGTAAGTGACATTCCTTCTTTTTTTCAGTTCCATTCAGGTGAAGCTTGGGGAATACAACCTGGCAGTCCAAGACGGCACCGAGCAGACCATTAGTTCATCTAAAGTCATCCGCCACTCTGGCTACAATTCCAACACACTGAACAATGATATCATGCTCATCAAACTTTCCAAAGCAGCCACACTCAACTCCTATGTCAACACAGTTCCTCTGCCTACCAGCTGCGTGTCTGCTGGAACAACATGCCTGATCTCTGGATGGGGCAACACACTCAGCAGTGGCAGTAAGTGCTGAGGACTCTGGAGATGGTCTAAGATCTCATATTTAAGTCCAAACAGTATAGGGCAAAGAACAGAGAAGTGCTGCATGGCAAGCCTTTTTGGAGAATGATTTTAAATGATCAATCCATATAGGACAACAGTCATTTAGCTCGTCTGATGGCAAGACTAAGATTTTTAATCTTGTTCTATTTTGTGAAGATGGAATCATTTAAGTCATTCATGTGCCCTTCACTAAGATGTCCCCTTAGCTCCACTCTTTTCCACTGGTGGTCAGAAGCGTAGGTGGAGACCAGTGTCTAATTCTCTGACCAAAACAAACCTGCACCAGAGCAGGAGGTAGTTTGCCTGAGACCCAAGATTTCTTCATCATATGTACTGTAAGACTAGTTCTTAATACTAAATCTGCCAGCTGATGACTTTCTAGATGCAGGGTAGAACAGAGGGCCTGGGAGTAGAATCTGTTTCATCTAAACAAATAGAATTGCAGCTCAGAAGAAAAACGAGGACTGCTAAAACAGGGTGTCCAGCAATGACTTTTCTGTTAAGAAACATGTTTTTCCCAGGCTCTGAAATTATTTCATATATTAATATTTCAAATATTAATATTTCAAATATGCCATCAATAATTTCTCCCTATTTTCTTGTAGCTCTGTATCCAGACATCTTGCAGTGCCTGAATGCACCTGTACTTTCCTCAAGCCAGTGCAGCAGTGCTTACCCTGGTCAAATTACTAGTAACATGATATGTGTAGGATACCTGAGTGGAGGGAAAGACTCCTGTCAGGTAAAACAACTGCCTCTCCTATCTGTACCTTTCCTATCTTCTCCTAATAGAGGATGATAAAGTGCTCAATCAGTGGTTCAGGCCATGACTCAACAATTTCCGTACAGTTGGCAATTTTTCCACTCATTTGATCCCTATTTATTTATTTATTTATTTATTTATTTAAGACATGGAATACCTCTGCCCTAATCCTCCACGTGCAGACTATGCTAGCTCTTGCACTTTGGGCTATTGAAAATGGAGAAGTGCTGCACCAGAGAATAAGCAATTATTGCAGAGGGTATAACCTAGGATGCAAATGTTAATATTGGATTCAATGAAAATAAAACATCACTATACCAATATTCAGGAAATCTGGAAAATGAACACACCTGGCAATTGCTCTGCATGTTGTGTATGCCTGATTCTGTGGAAAAGTTTTACAGAATAATGTGTAAGAAAAGTTTCCTGAGCATCTGCCAAGAACTGCACCCATGAAAAATAAGTAACTTACTACTGTCTGTGATGCCTTAGAAGTACGGCATGTTAGCATCAGGTGTAGAATTGTAAGCAGAAATTATCTTTGTAAGAAAAAGTCTCTCTCTAGAATCTCAGTGATTTCTGGGAAATATGGCTTATTGCTGATGCTGATAACATTTGCTGAGCATCTGTATCCTTATCTGTACAGGGGGATTCCGGTGGTCCAGTAGTCTGCAATGGTCAGCTGCAGGGTATTGTTTCCTGGGGTATTGGATGTGCACAACCAGGTTATCCTGGTGTTTACACTAAGGTTTGCAATTATGTTTCCTGGATTCAATCAACTATATCTTCCAATTGAGACACTCATTTTAAGTGACATGCTTTTCCTTCTCCTCATTTCCTTCTGCTTTGGAACTGGATGTACAAAACTTAAAAAATAAACATTTTCAGGCAGCCCTTCTTTGTGCAGAGTTGCTCTGGTTACTTCCATGGGTTATCACATGGGGAACACAGACAAGTAATATCAGTATCTATCTATCTGTCTATCTATTTATCTATCTAATATTTGTAGTGTATCTCAACTAGCAGAATCTTGGAACACTTTATCCTCAACTTCAGGAGTCCTTTAGTCAGTTATGCACAAGCATTTTGGAGTAGAAGATATTTTCTGTTTATAATCATATAGTCAAATGCTACATACTTACATAAAACAGCTGAAAGAGTGTGGTGAACTACAGAGGCAACATACTTCTATTACAGAAAACAGCTGACAGCAAAACTCCCCATCACCCCCAACCCACAGTCATATGACTGAACATTTCCTACTGCAAAATCACTGGAAGCTCTACCTGGGGAATGAAGGCAAGCTCTTGCTAGGGCTTGTTCTCTTAATGTACCAGTATTGTGACCTACTAAGGCTGTTTTACTCAATTGCTGGGGCTACTGTCCATAGCATTTTGCTCGTTGGACATGCTGGGCTTTCTTAGTTTCCCTGGAACAGTCAAAAGAACAGAGATGTTGCTGAGCTTTGGTTTTAAATTCCTTTTGCCCCAATCAGCCCCGAAAGAATCCATGAAAAAACTGCCAAAGTTGCCCATAGGCTGTGCAGCTGTCTCCTTGGGAAAAAAAAAAAAAAAAAAAAAAAAAGGAAAGAGGAAAGAGGAAAAAGTGTGAGAAAAATAAGATGAAGAAAAGGAGAGGAGAAAAGTGGGGCACAAAGGAACAAATGCCATTTTCAAATGGAGAAGTTTTTGCTTAGCTCTTTCGGATGCTTTGTGGCTGATACACCTCTTAGATAAGTAATAGGTGCCTGAGCCAGGAAAAAGTACAATATACAAACAAGATCAAGATACAACAAGAACAAGATAGCATGGTATCTCACTGCTGCAAAAGTTGGTGTTGAATTCCTTCTCAGGATCTTCCTTCACAGCTTTCTTTTTTTCTGGAAAAATCATCCTTCCCTTCAGTCTTTTTGTACAAGGAGACATAGTTCTTACCATGGAGCTGTTGGAAGTCGCAGGTTTTCCCTCCATGACCACTGTGAGTGGAAACTTAAACGTCCTTGCCTGGTATTATCATCCAAAAAGCAAATTTGTTACCTGATGTGCAATGAGCCAATTCCCACACACACAAGAGAGATATTTCTTTTAATTTGGGCCCGGGTGCTGGAAAGTTGAATGTTTCAAGAAATCAAAGACAATAATAAAAATTTCTTCACTGTATTTGTGCATTTAATTCTTATATTTTGCATCTATCTAATACAGAAGGAAGACCGGCCACCTACATATTAATAAGGTTAAACAATCATGATAATCCATTCCCCTTTTGGTTACATTCCCAGCCAGCTTTTCTTGCATGGGATTGTTCAGGGGACTTATATGACCTTCTGTGATTTTTTTGAGAATTCTCCTCTTAATCCTTTTATCCTTATATGGTCACCTATGACCAAACTGAACAGTTCTCCTCTTGCTGATACTGCAAGAGGAACAATTGTACTTGACTAATCAGATAACGTAAGACACTCTGCTTGATCAAAGTATTTTACATTTCTGTTGATTAAACACAGACAATATCCCCTTCTTTCTAAGCAAAGACATGTTTCTCCCAGTCACAGAGTTATCTAGATCTATCTGTGTCCGTGACAGGGGGACAGCAGGCCCACAGGCCCAGAAAAGAAGGAAAGAAAAAAAGTGTCAATGGTTCATGGGCCAGTCTGGCCCGATCCCATGACTAATGAGGCAGGGGATCCATGGACCCACACCCTGGGAGAGGGAAAAGGATAAGGAGATAGTAGATGGGTCTAAAAACAGAGAGCGGCAACGATCTGAGGAGGAACGTTAATTTACTAGATATGATATCAGAATGTAAGATAACAGAATAGAACACAATTCAATTGGAATTGAGGCCAATAAATCAAACAAAATGAGAGAGAGAGTGTCCAAACAGAAGGCCTCACTCTAAAGCTGCAGGCAAAAAGGAGCAAGGCAGCATGTGCTTCTCTGCAGCAACCAAAGAAAGAGAGGCTCCTGAGCTGCCAGGAGCTCCACCTCCCTTCCTCTGGGTGCAAAGTCCTCTGGGGAATGCAGCCCCTTCCCTCCCCCTCTGAAAACCAGGCACCCAGAAACAGTGGTGCACGGAACTGGAACATTAACTCTTTAACTCCCAGTGCTTTACATGGTGTTATGATGTAGAATACTGACAACAAAAAAACCATAAAACCAGAACACTCCCCTCTTAGAAAGTTTAGAAATATCCACCTGGTTTCAGTGTGTTATCAGAGGGATGAAAATGTTGGAGTATAGTGAAGAAGATGAGGAAGATGGGAGAAAATAAATGTTTCTATCTGTACACAGAGCACGTCCTTGACTATGAGGGATGGGCATGTTTTGAAGAGTAGTTTGGAAACAGTCCCTGTCCTCTGCCACTATGTACTCCATGTCTCAATGCCTCTTGTAGGCAAAGACGAATTTCCACTTTCTAGATTTGATATTCAAGACTTGATATTCAAATTGTTGAAATGTTCTTATGGGCTCTCCCTTCTTATATGGTTGGAACATCATTTATACCACTGATAGACCCTACCATGAAAAGGTAGCTTACAAAGTTGTTCCCTTTCTGTGCTTGTACTGGGTCTGGCTGGAATGGAATTTGCCCACATGGAAGCCTGTGTAGTACTGTGCTTTGCATAGGTTGATATCACGGCAATGTTTTACCTACTGCTTGTCATCAGGAAGTCTGGGAAGAAAACTCTCAAACTCCAGTGTGGTGTTAGAAAGTGACATTATTTTAGTTCACCATATGTACCAGCCAACACGTACAGATGCAACACGTTTCCCAGAAACATCAAACATATTCATTCTTTTCCAAGAGCTCATTAATACATGCTAATGTGTCTACAAGCATGCGCGGTGAGGCTGTATGACCACCTCCTTCATTCCCTTTATTTCAGCTTCAGCTTCATTGCCCAGTTTGGCAAATTTCCATTGCTTGTTATGCCATAAAGAGCAACCTTTTATCTTGTTACACTATAACTCCAAAAAATTTATATGAAATCTAAAAAAAAGTTCTTGCACTTGATGGATACAAAGAAGTGTCCAGCACATACCATGTAGATAAAAAATAGACTGTTGTGGCTTTGGCACTTCAGTGAAGCAAAGATCATTCAAAACAAGACTGTTCACGTACCAAGCAAAGTTAATCTGGAAAATTCTAGAGCTAGTACACACCAAGTATTTTTGCAAAACTAATACATGGGTCCTTAAATTTATATGTATTGATCCCTATTTCTAAAATCACAGTATAGATGCCATCACTGAAACCTGGTAGAATGATTCCTATGACTGGAGTGTGGCTATTGACTGCTACAAGCTGCTCAGAAGGGGCAGGCAAGGAAGGAGGGGAGGTAGTGCTGCTATCTACATCATGAAAGGAGTAGGATGAGAAGACCTGCCCCTAAGGTATAGTCATGAGCAAGTCAAAAGCCTATGGGGGATGCTAGAGACTGAGGCAGCAAAGGAAGCCTTGTGATCAGTGTCTACTACAGGTCACTCAATCAAGCAGAGCCTGCCTATGAGGTCTTCTACCTCTGGCAGCAGGAGGCATCGCGATTGCAAGCACTCATCCTGCTGGAGGACTTCAACCAAGACGCAGCGCTTCCCGTTATCTAAACAAACTGCAGGGCTACTTTTCCGTGAATGCTGACAATTTTAACAACATCATTACACGTTGTATCAAAGGTAGGATCAAAATCTGTTCGGAGACAGGAAAGGAAAAAAAGCAGAGAAGAAGCAGAAGACACAGACAGGAAACCACTACTTTTCCTAAGGGGACAGAGCTGGAGGCCAAAAGTGAAGAAATAGTTTCACTGGTACACAGTGAACTGTGTGTGCTGGTGGCAGGTCTCCACTTGTAAGGAGGGAGGTTTGCGCTCTGCTGCGCCAGCCTTCGTGTCACAGTGTATCTTGCTTAGCGCAGAAATAAGTGCCTGAGTCACTGAGTTCAACATGATCTATCGTCACTGATAAGGAGTTCGCCTTGGTGCCACTGCTCTGGAAGCGGCTTCTGAATTCCTCCTCAAACTCTGCCTTGGTGCCTTCAACTGAAAATACAACCAGCTGCAAAGAGGCGTTCTTCCCCACTGGCAGCTTGTACCAGTACATGGTCCAGATCCCACTCTCCTTGTGTGAACAGTTGAGAGTCAGAGAGTCTCCCAGTCGGACAACTGAGTCTGGGCTTTGCTGAAGAGCCCAGCCTGGAAAAGGAGAAAAACTGTGAGAATG